GGTGGCGTTTGATAGCACTTTTTAGACCTTTAAGTCTGAAAATATTGTTTTTCAGATGCCACATTTGTTTGGATTGCCCTCTGGATAGTAGATCTTAAATCCAAATTTAGATCTTAATAGAAAAGAGGCAGGCCAGGTCCTTAAGTGCGCTCAAACGCATTTTAGACCCATGTGAAAGACACAAATGTCCTTGCAAAATTTTAAATGACTTGTTTTTTCATTCAGACACCTCCACTAGGAATGAGAACGAAAGCTCCACCACCATCGATTTCTTTATGTGTTCTTCCATGAGTTTAGGGTTTCGATTTGCTACTAAGTTATTTTCTTTTTCTCCAGTTTCCCAGTATCCAGCATTCTAGCTTCGCTTGCAGCTTTTATTTGCTTTTCTCCATTCTCTTGCAGGTATGTTTCATCCAACTTTCTTATGATTTTCTTCTATTTTTTTTCTCTTCTCTCAATGTTTATTCACAAGAAACTAGGATTACAACTAAAAGGTTCTAAGGGTGAGCATAATGATATATTGGGATCTATTTTTCTCTTTTGTTACCGTTCTTTCTTATTTTTCTTGTCATCCTTCATTAACTTTTGTGCATTTTGGATTCCTGCCTGCAGTTAGCTTGTGGTGTGTCATCTTTCCTTGTCTTTTTGTAATTAGCTAGTCTTTCATTTGTTGAAGGCATTGTGGATCTCTGTTTCTGTTGCATCTAAGAGGAGATAATGGGTTCTGTTTCTAGTGTTCACTAGTTGACTGTCTGAAGTAGGATTTTTCCTCTTTTGGGTGTCTTTGTTTTTAGGGGGATCGTGACTAGACCAGAGCCACCAGACTAGTGAAATGTTAGATCCTACCAAAGGGATTATTATTGACCATTCAGCAGCATGTGCTTGTTGAAATGTGTAGCCGACTCTAGCAACACATTTATGTACAACAACTTTCGGGTGAAATGTTTCAGGTTATGGGAATGCCTGTAGCACTTCTTTGTTGGTATATTATTGGTGATGTATGTTGCACTTGTAACCCTTTGAATTATGGGTGATGTATGTTGCAATGCATGATTACAAATTTGGGTAGGTGAAAATGGGTTGTCTGTTTGCTTTAGGTTAACTTTGTTTTGTTTCTTCACTTCATATGACAACATCAATGTAAGAGCAAGGTGGAACAAGTATAGGGGTGCAAGTTGGTTATTCAAATTTTATCGAACTCCCAAATCAAGGTTGTCCAAGTTGCACCCCTATACAGAAATGTTGCTTTTTTGAGTTAGACCATATCTAGCCTCTCCCTCCCAAAACCTCAAATAGCCGGGATCAACATCGTGTAGCCTTCTCTCTATTACACAGTTAGGTCAGCTGGTGTCAAACATGACATTTTGGTTTCAATGAATAATTTAGGGTGCATTTGGTTTTCGGACAGGACCAGAATCAGAATCATCTATTCCTGGCATCTGTTTGGTTCAGTCTTCCTGCTGTTTGGGTCAACTAGAAGCTGGAACCAGAATCAGCCAAAGTTTTCAATTCTGCCCCTGTTAAAAGAACCTCAAAAACATCCACTAATTATATATTTTCAACATATACACACATTGGCAACCTGCTACCAAGTGCATATATGGTGAAAATATGAAATAAAGAAAAGAAAAACACATCAACAAACAAAAATCACAAAAAAATATCATTCTCCATAAAAAATGAAAAGAAAAATACATAAATAAACAAAAATCTCTCATAACGGTGGAAATATTACTAGGTACAATGAAATAGGGTAGACCCTTGATATCTTTTTCTATCACAAACAACCACCTAGACATTTTGAAGATATATGTCAATGAGTACATAGGTCCCTCAGCCATTTGATTTTTCTCATCCTCACTTAGGTCCCTCAACCTTTCCTGCATTTCTCTGCAACAAATTGAAGTATCAGCACAACCCAATGACTGGAAGGGAGATATCGATCTATCATAACAACTGACTAAAAATACAACTTTATGCGATCATCTATTCTCTGCTCCTCCATGGAAAGATTTTCAACTTCTGCCTGTAGAATAAAATCAGAACATAAAGTCTCTTTCTTCTTGGAAAAAAAAAGACCAATTTCTTTTAGAATCAAATCATGGTTATTGTAGCATTTGTGGAGGATGCAACATTTCTTGAATCCAATGCAAACTGATATATCCAACAAACAGAAAAATATGAAGGCATGGTAGCACAAGCCATCCAAGTGTGCATGTCTATATCACTACAAGAAAATAAGTCTATAGCTACTGCAGTGTAGCTACAGACATAAAAATCCGTGGAGCATGGAATATTGCAACGGACAATCAATGCCCGTAGCTAATCATTGACCTTTAGCTACGGCCATTTCATCTGTAGCTAAATCTCACTTTATCTGTGGCTAATGGATGTTTATAACCACGGTTAATTAAATCCGTGGCTAGAAGTCAATGAAGCTGAAAATTGCTCTTTAGCTACGGGTAGTTTGTCCATGGCTAAAAAATACTTTGGTCATGGTTAAAAGTTATTCATGGTTACAGCCACGGACTTAAATTATCTGTGGCTATATAAATTATAATTAACCTTTAACTACAATTATTTATCTGTGGCTAAAAGCTATTTATAATTGTAGCAATATGAATTTTAATTATCCATAGACCATAGCTATAAGGATAATTAATAATTAATGGATAAAAACTTAAAAATAATTAATAATTAATAAATATTAGTAGTTAATTATTAATGAATATAGTAATAATAATAATTAGTGATTACTAATTAATAATAATTAAAAGAACAAATATACAAAAGAAACACATGACTAGGGCTCCAACTATATAATGGCCTATTTATAATAGTTGATTAAATTACTTAAATAGCAAATAATTATTATTAATTAACAAATAATAATAACAATTAACACACATTTTAGAATGAAAATATTAAAATAATAATTAAAATGTAGAATACTAGTTAAAATAACTTAATAAATAAGTTCTTACTAAATTAATGATATTTAAAATATAAATAAATAAATAAATTTGGTTATGCGGTGGATGCCATATCAAGGGTGACTATGGAATTATAAATCCCATGAAATCCATTACAAAAAGAAATATGCGACTAGGGCTCCAACTTTGGCCAAGTAAGCTTGAACCTAACTAGAAAATGTTGGGTTGAGTTGGGTAAGATTGAAGTTCAAGTTAGCATTGGGTGGTTAATCCACCAACTTGTACCCCTACGCACAACATTAACCAAATTGATCCCGAGTCATGGATGGTATGATTTTAAACCCCACAACTAGTCAAAAAAATGTTGACCATAATGGTTGAACCCTTAACTTGTTTGATATGTATATATTTTGTACATAATGTATACACGTTATATATGTTATTTTATATTATACTATATATCATATACACATATTATAATATGTATTATATATGAGACATTTATATTATTATATAATATATAAAATAAATTTAATTATATGCATATTATATACCATATTTAATATAAACTATTATGTTTATGTAACATTTTATACATAAAAGACTTAATTAATTAGGCACGAGCATGTGTAGGGCTTGGCCCCCAACTTATGTTTTAGGCTTAGAACCTAGGCCGAGTTGGGCCCAGACATAGACTTTTTAATACCCATTAATTAATTAATTAATTCATTCATTATTTTATTAATAAGGGCTTCTTTATACACAACTAAGCATGAATGCCTGAGTTGGGCTTGCGCAGCCATTAACATCATTGATACCTTGTAAAAACTTGGCTCGTGATGATCATCTCTAATAGGGTTGCCTGACCTGAAAACCCTTAGTAGGGGTAAATTAACCCCAATAGTAATTACTAATTAATTAAATGTTACATATTATTTTAATTAATTTTTAATAAGAATTAATTAAATAATAATATTTTCTATTATTTTCTATTTTCTATTAATTATAAATATTTTGCTAATTAATTAAGGCTTTCTAATACCATGGTTTCTAATATGGCTTATCGAGTCCGTTTGATTCGGGCAGGATGAGGATAAGGCTCGTTGACATGCGACACGATCTCGAAGACATCAGAGACAGTTGGCTCCCTTCTAGAAGAACGTTATGTGGCACCTCGGCAGATCAGGGCATGACAAGCTGCTCAGACCTTGGTCTTGGCTGAGATACCTGAGGTGCCTGAGCTGACTTGGCCTACTAAGGTGTTCAGAAATACTGAGATGTCATCCAGTTATCATGTCGTTCCATGTGTCCGCATGCTAACTGATCAGCCCAAATTACCCCTCATCACTACCATTTCGAGGATTTGTAACATTTTACGATGGAAACCTTATCTTTCTTAATTCCTAATAACCAAGCTCAAACATTCAACCCTTTTTTTTTCATTTTTTGGGAAATGGGTCATTCAAGTACAGTATCTGCACTCATCGGTTTGTGGATAAAATGTGTGCTCATCTTTTTCTTTTCTTTTTGGGCAAAAAACGTAGTCGCCATTAAGTTTTTTAACAGCTTTACCAAGGGTTTACAATGGTTCTATTATTCAAGGCTTTGTGGAAGTGGTTCAAGAGAAAGGAAAGAGTATGGTATATTTTGAAAATTTAATGAACAATTAAGGGTATTTTTGTCTTTTACAATCACTCTTCTTTCTCATGTTCTGTTTCTAAACTCTTTCCACCCTCCTTCTTATGGGTGGCCATAAGCCGAGCTCTTCACAAGCTACTCGAGCTCATTTTGTGAAAAGCTCGGCTCGGCTTGGTTTGAACTGAGTTTCGAGCCGAACTCGAGCCCAAAGTATAGGCTCAAGTAATAAACGAGCCGATCTCAAGCCTAATAGAGCTCGACTCATGAGACTCGCGAGCTGAGCTCGAATATATATATATATATATATATATATATATATATATATANTATATATATATAATAAAAAATTATAATTCTTAATTTTTTAAATATCAAATAAAAAATATTTTTTATTTTTATAAAACATTTTTATCAAGTCGAGCTCGAGCTCAAGGTTCTAGCTCGAACCGAGCTCAAGCCTCATACTATTTGGCTCGAATCCACCCCTACTCCCTCTGTATATATACGTATAATTCTCCTAAGACATTACTATGGAACATTTCACGCTTACCCAACTCCTGTTCACATTCTAGTTCTTTCTCCATGCTTAGGTAACTTGGGTCCAATGCTATAAATATTTAAATTAAATAACTCAGATTTTGATTCAACTACTGATTTGGAGGGACTTTCTTGGTCAGATCTGTTTAAGTGAGCAAGTGTTTTAAAATGTGATGGTAAAGGAGTCTCATCCAAATGGTGATTGCATTTGTAATTTGGTACGGCTTCAGATGGTCAACGTCATAGAATTGTTTTGTAAAACAAGCCATCATATTGCAGACACTCACCAAACATGGCCATGAGAAACTGTCTGCAGGTTAGCTGAGCACCATCATGGGGAAAACTACAAATTGAAAACACTAACAATGGTGCCAACGGTCAGTATACCAACCACTGAAGGAAATAACAGCTAATGCTGCACACAATGATGAGAAAATATAGATGGTAATAATTCTGATGCAAAGGGTGTAACAGCAGAAAAGTCACAGAAATGTGCATGTGTTTAAAGGGTTAAAAGTTTCTATAACAAGAAAAATCCTCTAATAAGCATTCCAGTTGAAGGGAATGAATGAAAAGTGCAGGTATTCCCTCTGAACCCTTGGAGTTTGATTGCTATTCCACTTTATTTTTCTGTTGTGATTGAGACTGCCATGAGGAAGATTCTCTAGGGAGCATTGCTCTTCTCTATCAATAATTTTACCTTATTTAGGATCTTAAAAGAGATACAAGGATGACAACAGTATATCATAATCAAATAATCAATATTGATTTCCTCTACTTTCTTTTTAAGTTTTAGCATCAACAGTTGGAAAGCCTTTTTGCTCACTGTCCATTGATCAAAAAGGAAGAAACAGAAAAGAAAAGAAAAGTAGCCCTATTGATCACGGTAAGATGTTTAATGTGTGAAAATACTACACAGTTGTTTCCTATTTTGCTTATGTAGAGTTCATGTGGAGTGCTACTAGAGAAGCGTAGGCACCATCAGATATCTTCATCAGTTCATCATGTTTTCCCTTCTCAGCAATGGCACCATTCTTCACTACTGCAATTATATCAGCCCCTCTGATCGTAGAGAGGCGATGAGCAACAACAACAGTTGTTCTATTCACCATTACTCTATCTAATGCATCTTGTACTACACGCTCTGATTCTGCATCCAACGCACTTGTGGCCTCGTCAAGCAGAAGGATCTTTGGGTCCTTCAGTATTGCTCTTGCTATGGCTATCCGTTGTTTCTGGCCACCAGACAATTGTACCCCCCTTTCCCCAACTGAGGTATCATATCCTTCTGGTAATCCTGCTATGAAGCTGTGAGCATTAGCTGCGTTTGCAGCTGCAATAATCTCATCTTCTGATGCACCACCCTGCTTTCCATAAGCAATATTGTCACGAATAGTCTCATTGAACAATATGGGCTCTTGGCTTACCAATCCCATTTGTTGCCTCAACCAACTTAACCTAAACTTCTGAATTTCAACTCCATCTAACAATACATGGCCTGAATCAGGATCATAAAACCTTTCTAGCAAGCTGATAATAGTTGATTTTCCACTACCACTCTCTCCAACCAGGGCAGCAGTCTAGAAACAATAAAGAATGTTAGTGTCAATTCAAAAAGCAACTAAGGAGACTAGAAATGTCGCCTATGAGTTTTATTTTCCAAAAACTGTGTTTAAGTATTGTTCAAGAAACAGGTCAGGGAGGTGTTCTAAATACCTTCCCAGAAGGGATGCTCAAGCACAAGTCTCTGAATATCTGCACGTTTAGGCGTGTTGCATATCTGAAGCTGACGTGTTTGAAATCAATATCACCTTTGACACTGGCTAGGGTAACACCTTCTTCACTGCTTGAATCAATCTTTGATTTGCTGTCAAGAATCTCAAAAATAGAAGCAGCTGAATCCTTAGCCTTGTTGGAGTCTGGAGCCATTGCACTAGTTTGTGAAATTCCCACTGCTGATATTGTCAAGGCAAAGAAAACCTATATGTATCGGACCATCAGAGACCAAAGATTTACCTTGGAAAGGGATCAAGAAAACAAATAGTTACAACCATACCTTAAAAACTTGTCCAAATGTTGCTAGGCCATGTTGTACCAGAAGTGATCCAAAATAGAAACAGGCAGCATTGGTGCAATAAAGTGCAATGAAAGAGAAGCCAAAGCCTCCACCACTTACTAGTCCTAAGCGGACTCCTTGTTTTATGGGTGCCTCACATTTTTTCTGGTACAAATCCATCACCTTTTGTTCTGCACAAAATGAGACAACTGTTCGAATACTACTCACTGCATCATTTGCAACTTGACTAGCTTCTTCATACATTACCTGCAAGAGTTTTTAAAACTTTCTTAGTGCCATATACACTGTATATATATTGTCTGCAAAAGAATTGCACCACTAAATCTATAATTAGTGTTTGAATTTGATTATAATATGTCTATGTATTCACACATCGAATTCCAATCATTTAAATTCCATAATAATATCAAGTTAAATGGTAGAATAGAAGAAATAACCTTAGCATCTGCACTGAATCCCTTCACAAATTTCATCTGAGCATATCCTTGTAAACCCACCAATGGTAGCAGAACTAAGACTATAAGTGCCAATCGCCAATTAGCTGAAAATGCTATTATAATCCCTGCTGTTAGTGTTGCTATGTTCTGAACCATTAAGGCCAAGGCATCACCTACAAGACTCCGCACATTTGAGGCATCGATAGATAACCTTGCACCAACTGCCCCACTGAAACAGAACCAGAAATTTTAATGAATCCATATATTAGAGAGTGTGGATTTGTGTGTGGGAGGGAGATGAATGGGTGTTACGAACTGGTTTAAATACCTTGAATTTGCAGCTTCATCAAACCAACTTATTTCTTTGTGTACCACCTTCTCAAATGTCATGGATCGGATACGTTGGATCAACTTACTGCCAGCAACTCCAAAGAAATACTGTTGAACTGGTACAGAAACCAAAGAAATGACACCTAGAACTACAAACATCAAGTCCCAAAACCTGGAATCTTTTCGAAGCTCGTGAGGAGGTTCATAGAATATTTTGATGGCTGTTGAGAGCAGGAGCCCAAAGACAGGAAAGATTACACCATGTATAGCTGCAGCAATGGACCCTAGAAGCAAAACTGGCACCTCTGGCATATTTAGGTAGGCTAGGCGCTTGATGGAGACCTTGCGATGTGCATCTTCTTTCTCCTTTTGGTCAATAGTCTCCTCCTCTTCTATTTCAGTCTCATGAAGATCTATGGGACCTGGAATACCAAATGTAAGTGAGGAGTGCCTACCACTAGAAGAAGCTCTGCTTATGGATTGCCTCATGGATAATCTCTGGCTGTGAGATCTGCTCATTATAGAATCAAGGCTCTGGTCTGGTTTATGTGGTGAAACTTCAGTTTGTTGAGTACCCTCTTGTAGACGAATGAGCTGTGAGTAAGCCCCATCAGGATCCTTAGTCAACTCTGAGTGAGTACCTAGTAAACAAAATGCAACTTTCAGGATATTTTGGATGGTTTCCAGTATTTGTTAACTTTGATAGAATCAACATATTAAAATGAAACAGTAAGTTTTGATTACCTTGCTCTAGAATTTTCCCTTGATGTACCACAGCTATGATATCTGCATTCCTAATGGTGGTCAAACGATGAGCAACAACCACAGTCGTCCGGTTTGACATGATTCTTACTAGGGCCTCTTGAACTATGCGCTCAGACTCTGCATCCAATGCACTTGTTGCTTCATCAAGAAGTAGAATCTTAGGACTCTTGAGAATGGCCCTTGAAATTGCAATCCTCTGCTTCTGTCCACCAGACAATTGTGTTCCATGCTCTCCTACCATTGTATCAAGCCCCTAAATAAATTGTATATTGTGATCATGTCATGTTTACATAATTAAAGCAGAAACTATTCCTTAAAAGTATGTTGCAGATGTACCTGAGGAAGCTTGTGAATGAACTTTGCAGCATTGGCAAGCTCAATTGCCAATCTAATCTCCTCATTTGTTGCATTTTCCTTTCCATATGCAATATTCTCTCTGATTGTAGTTGCAAACAAGATGGGTTCTTGGCTGACAAGTCCAATCTTCCCCCTTATCCATCTTAGCTGCAGCTCCTTCAAGTTGACACCATCAATAAGTACTTCACCGGCATGGGGATCATAGAATCTCTCCACCAGGCTGATCACTGTTGATTTCCCACTTCCGCTTTGTCCAACTAGAGCCACAGTGGTGCCACGCGGAATTTGCAATGAGAAGCCAGAAAATATCTGAACATTGGGTCTTGCTGGGTAGCTGAAGTAAATATCTTTTAGTTCTATGTCACCCTTGATGTCCCCTAACACAATGCCACTCTTGTCATATGCATCAATCAGTGGTTTTCTTTTGATTGTTTCAAACATCTTATATGCTGCAGCTTGTCCTGCTGCAAAAGCATTCAAGCATGGGGATGCCTCGCCCAGCGACCTGATTCAAGAGACCAATAAGAGAGGGGATTCCTATAGGTATTCTCTGTTCAAAAATTGATCTAAGACTTACATTCCACCAGTCATGAGAGAAAATATAATGTTGATGACTACTCCGCCATTGTAGCCTTTCTCAATGATCAGCTTGGATCCATACCATATGGCTAGTCCATAGCTGCTGAATATGATTACTAAAACTGTTCCAAGTCCCACACCTGATGCAAAGCCCTGCTGGATGGAGGAAGCATATGCCTTGTGTATTGCTGCACTATATTTGTTTATGGCTTGTTTCTCCCCAGTGAAGGATGCAACCTAAGGAATTTAGGTTAAAAAAAATAATGCGTCAGTTATGGATAACTGTACTCAAAAGGATTGTATGCATCTGAGTTGCAGAATTTCCATCATGAATATGCCTTACCGTTCTAATGGCTCCTACTGTCTGCTCTACAATATTTCCAGCTTCAGCATAGGCGATCTGTCCGCGGCTCGACATTTTTGAAATGACTACTGACATTACACCACCGGAGACCACAAGGAGAGGAAGGCATGTCAACATGACCATTGAAAGAAGCCAACCTGTTGAAAATGCAATTGCAAAGCCCCCAAAAAAGGTAGAAAGAAGTTGGATGAACTTTCCAACCTAACAAAAGAATTTGAAGTATGTCATGGGATCTATTAATTGCTTGTCTAGCTAGTCTGCACTGTTTCTTGGCATTCTTGGAAGTAGGTAAATGCAGATACAAGTTTGAAACAAGAACAAAACAGAACATGAGAAGCTACCTTTTCACCCATAGCATCTTGAATGAGAATGGTGTCCCCGGACATCCTTCCAATGACTTCTCCAGTTGTTGTTTCCGTGTCAAAAAATGTAATATCTTGTCTCAAAATAGTTTTTAGGTATAGACCTCGAATGCGAGCTGCCTGTCTCTCTCCGGTCACCATCCAGCTAGACACCTCTGAAGTGGACAACAAGTAGTAGCAACTCAGCATTTATATTGATATGTATTGTCCAATGCCTGAGTGCTTAATTTGGAGAAACTAATGTTTACTCAACCCATTTATTCAGTGCTTCTGTAATAAACTAACCACAATGACATGGGATGGAACCATTATTTGTAAATAGTCTTCTGAATGGAAAATTTTCACTTTAAGGAAAGCTCCATATAAAATGGATATGGATGGGTTGGTCTGGGCTAGGCAGGATACTGGCATTCTGCATAGGAAATTAAATTAATGAAGATCTGAACTGAGATTGGATATCACTGCCTTGCCCAGCCTACATGTGAATTAGACACCATCCATATAAACTCAGCCCATGTATGACCCAGATAAAGAGTATTCAATCAGTCATTTATGTGCGAAAGAAAGAAAAGGGATCAAGTACACTTACGTAAGAACGCGGCGAGACCTGTACCAAAAGCCAAGTATATGATTTTCAGAGATACCTGAAGCCAAAAAGATAAATGAATTCTCAAGTAATCATGCATAGATACATTGATGACAATATTTGGCTGCAGTTCATTATGATTTGGGCCAACCTGATATTTCAACCAAGCATTACTTTTAACCATTTTAAAGTGACTGTCTCTGTGATTTTTCTTCACTCGCTTTGTTAGCTTCATTGAAAGATCAAAGCCGAAATAATCAAAACAAACAAGGGAGAATGACTGACCCCAGGGTCAGAATTTGTAGACTCAAAGTACATTGTGGTGGGTAACCGGAATTGATGCTAATTCACGGGCGGATATGGATGCATATAGTATGATTTTTGGACCTTATGAATATTTATAACTTCAGAGTGGGAATCAGAAATATGTATTTGGCCTGTCCATACTTTTTGGAACAAAGAAGCAGAATCCAACAATAATCCATTTAAAGGATGGGGTATTTTATTTTGTGGGTTTTTATTGTTTGCACCACCTTGGAAATCTAAATGCCCGATGGTCTTGCACAGAGTGCCAATTGATTGCTGACTCCAGCTTTTAAATCTCTAATTGTATTCGGCTCCAGTTCTCCACCTACAATTAGATATTTAATAGCTGGAGTCAGCGATCAATTGGCACGCCGTACAAGGCCTTCGGGCATTTCGATTTCTGAGGTGGAACAAACAATAAAAAACTGTATTTGTATTTGTAAGACGCTATTTTAATCATCAAACAAGGACAGTGTTTAGTTAATTCACCCAAAAGGTCCAATGACTAAAAATGTTGAAACACAACTAAGACCCACTTCTTAGAGTGGCTAATTGAGCCATACAAATTGTGCTGTCCTTGGAGTCTGGAGTTGCTAAAGTAATCACTAAATCTGATCTCAGAAATTGGATTTTTTTCAGTATGATCGATCCAGAAGGCTCAGGAATATAAATATGTAGAGTATAAAACCTTGTATTTTGTATTATTTTATATACATTCGTACTGTATATATTTACATTTGTATTCTTTTTTCAAACTGGGCCTAAATGTGTCACTCACATCGGCGTAGATTTCCGGCCGGCTGGACACCTAATGATCTTAACCCATTTCTCAATGGAATGAGTTTTGTACCTGTGTTTACCTAGACTTGTTCTTCCAAGCAATAGGACTGAGAGTTGAGATCCTTATTAACCAAACCAGGCAGTCATCAAGGATCCAAACCAGAGATTGCTGGCTCACTATTTGCAGTAAAGAGACCAAGGTTCTGATCACTGGCCAAGTACTTTGTTGTTTGGCTAAGACACATTTATTCTAACAACGACAATGGCTTATCTGGTAAACTCTGGTGTTTCTAATTAGGCTTATTGTGAACTGCCTTGACGTGCATACCTTAGACACTGCGGCCACAACGTGTGAACGATCTGAAGAGCCAAAGGAGTTGATGAGCTGACCAAAGACGAGAGTCATGAGCGGCATGGACAGCCCATTTACAATGGCGCATGTTGTGCCAACAGTCATCAGCGCCACATCTTGTTTATCTGCAAAAGAGAAGAGCTTGTAGAAGGGAACCTTCTGCTGCTCCTCTCCTTTTGCTTTCTCTCCATTCCCTCTCGTCGAAGCTTCTTTGTCAGTCTGGTCTTTCATCGCTTTCTTGATCTCTTAATTATCTATCTCCTTTTCTTCCCAAGAGCGAAACAAATCTTCCACAGAAAATATACAGCTTATCAGCCTAGAAAGAAATAACACCCAAAACTTGGATATGATGCGAAAGCATGAACAACGACTGAAAGTAGGAGAAAGAAATGAAACAAAGAGATTTCTGGAGTCTAGGTACCATGAAAGAATTTGAATCGTTACGTAAAGCAAAAGGGGATAGCGAAGTTTCAAGAGATAGACAGAGGAAAAGAAAAACTCTCTCTCTCTCCCTCTCTCTCTCTCTCTCTCTCTCTCTCTCTCTTCTGTTTCTTAAATCTTCGTGGTTAGTGGTTACACGGTTAGTAGCGAAGACTGTTCTTGAAAGCATACTATTACTATATATACCCATAAATTTATTACTTTCGCTTGGGAGAACAGAGATGTAAACGCTCCCGGATCTCTCTCGTATTTCATATTTCTGTAAATCTGTTAGGACAGGGGCAATGACACTTAACCCCAAACTTTCAATTGCAATTTGGAACAAACCCACCCTGAAATTTCTAATTCCAACACTTTGCCCCTTTATCATAAAAACTCCTGTAATAACAATCATAAAATCCTCTTCTGAGGTTTCACTTAGGCTCAGTTATAGAGTGTAAAACCTTGTATTTTGTATTATTTTCCATGTATTTGCATTTTATATATTTATACTCCTGTGATGATAATATGCATTAGTTTTAAAAATACCCCTTGTGTCTATCGATACAACACATAATAATTTACTAAAATACTGTTGAAAAAACTTTTAACTTTTAACTAAAAAAATTCATTGAAAAGAGTGATGTAATTTTACTTTGTAAGCTCATAAGGATTAAGTAAAGTCTAAAAGGGCATATCTGACATTTTGAATTATGTTGGAAGATGCCCAAAGAATAGAAAGGACAAATTTGTAACTTCCAAGTCAATGATAATAGGGAGGGAAGTGCAATTTTTTTTTTCAAAAGTTTAACGGATGTTTTCATTAAAGTGAAACCTCAGGAGAGGTTTTTATTATTGTCAGAAACCTCCAGGGAGGTTTTATATTTTACTCTTAAAAAATTCTAAAACTCCAAAGTACCCTTAATTTAATTTTGAGGCTGTTTTACAGAAAATTGATAAAATGCAACAAAGATGAAAAAATAAAAGAAAAATAAAAATGTTTCAAAAAATGAAGAAAAAGAGGGAAATACAAGAACCCAAATATCCAATTAATGGATTCCAGTTAAGATAAATACAACAAAAAATGATGTGAAATAAAGGGAAAATGCCCTTCAATCTAGTTAGTGGGGAGGGGGATAAGTGCTGGAATCAAAAGGGCATTCTAGTAAATTTATTTTCTCACATTGATCTAGTTAACCGGTGGGGCAGTTGAAATGTTGAAATCTGAAAGTTTAGGGGTCGGCTTTTGTTGCAAATGAAAGTTCAGAGGAGACTAATAAGTTGTTACTACCCTCAAAGTAGGCTGGTTATCTAAAATTTTTTAGCACCTTATGTTCTTTTTCATCTGATTGCATTGTTAGTTAAGAAAGAAAACAAGAAAAGGGATTATGATTTTCATGGTTGAGACTATAGGCTTTAAAAACTTAAATGCATCTCACAATCAGTATCTAATTTATATTTATACTTCCATTAAAATTGTGAATGAGAGTATGGAGTTTTTCTTTGACTAAAATACCCCAATTTTTGAATCTGGTTCGTTCCTAATTGTAGAGACAGAAATATAATTTTAACAATCACTTTTCTCTTTATTTAAATTCCTCTCATTAAGTATTATTTTAAGGTATTAACTTCCATTAAACATTCATTGAATCCTATTTTTGACTAGAACACCACTATTTTTGAATTTAATCTCTCACAAATATAATTTGAACTACTATATTTCTCCTCATCATTCAATTCCCTCTCATTAAGTCTATATTTATGGTATTAACTTCATTCTTTCATTGAATTCTATATTAATTAATCATATTAAATAAAAATAGATGTGATAAAAGTAATTATTTTTATTGATGATAGAAATAAAATACAAAATTAAAACCAACAAAAAAAATAGAATTGTTTTCCTGTTTGTTAGCAAGTCAATAATTCAACCTTTTGGGTCAAATGTATTAAACTCTTGATGTCATAATTAAATAATAATAATAATAATTAAAAGGATGAAAACACAAAAACGTACAAAAAATACAAAGAAATAAATTGTAAAAAACATTTAGGCACATCTTTAATATCATATATATATATATATATATATATATATATATATATATATATATATACATCATATTAAACAAAAAAAAAGGTATGATAAATAAGAATTATTTTTATAAACTTAAAAATATAAAAAAAATTGTAGAAAATTTTGGAAAATGATCGTCATCATCATCATCATCAAAATTTTCCACATGCAAAGGTTAATTAGAACACTTTATCTTAGATACAAACATATTCTAGAAGGAATCTATAAAAGCAAAAGAAAAATAGAAAAAAAAAAGAATATATTGAATTCACTTAAAAGCAAATTTATGACCCACAATCTTAAAACCTCATGAGTACTTTGCCAATTTTTCATGTTTCCAGTATGCAATTCTCTGTCACATAGGCCATATTTCGAAGATTACTTGAGAGCCAAAAATCAGTTTGTATGAAGGTTACCCCCTAAAATTCCTCAAAATTACATTGCATTTGGGATTTTGATAGATTTGCTTATTTTTTCCATTTGTGGTATATATTTTTAGGCTTATATTAATTTTATGGATTTAGGATAATCTTATAATATACTTAAATAATATTTTAATCAAATTAGACTCAAGTAGGAAATCCAGATATATAAATGAATCGAATTCAAAACTCTTTCTTTACATATCCATTGGGTATCGGGTCAAATTGGGAATTCTTGGATTCAGATATACCATTATATACCCCTACCGAATTCAATCCGAACCATTTGCCGCCACAAAAGTGTTTTTTTTGTGAGGAAAAGCATTACATCTTTTATTTCCCACATAGAACCTTTTTCTATTTTTCTTTTTCTTCTCTAATTCCAAGAAAAGGATAAAATTTTGAATGGGTTTGGAGAGACATAGAGCCCTCCAATACGAAAAAAAAAATGTGGGAGGAGAGAGATTCCACTTTATGAAATCACTGTCCTTTTGTAAGTGAGAAGCCATGTAGGTAGGAGTGAGAATCCCCTATTTATCATCTATTTTTATTGCTTCATTGCAAGAAAAAGGAGAACTTTTTTAAGGGTTGAGACTTGAGATAGTCATAGCAACTCTTTAAAACAAAAGTTAGTCCTAGCATATCTAATAAAAACCCTCTAGGTCATTGTTGTCTCTAATAAGATCTATTATTACTCTATCCAATAATATTATTCTTATCTTAAATCTCTCTCTCTCTCTCTCTCTTTAACATCTCCCTTCCCTATTAAATCTCTTATTTCCTCTTAAATTCTTCAATCCATTTTTTATCTTTTTTATAAACTATAAAGAACGAACTCAAGACCAAACCTAGGTATGGATCCTAGGCTGAATTCAAACTGATGTTAGAGCCCAAATTTGCCAATTCAACCCTAACCAAATTTATATTTAAGAGAAAATTCCCGATTAGTACCATGCACTTTGGGCTTAGTGCCACTTTGATCCCAAAACTATAAAACACGACAATTCAGTATCTAAAGTTTCAAAACGTGCCAATCCAGTACTTGCTGTTAACCAATTATTAAGTGGCATTTGAAAAGACACAAATGCCCTTTGAGTGTAATTCAACTTTTTTTATTAGCCATCCAAATGTTGACAAAAATGAATAGTCCCAAATCTTTTTTTCTTCTATTCAAGAAAGTTGGGGTAATGTCTTAATCGACATTCAGGTGACCTCAACTTTCTTGAACAGAAGAAAAAAGGATTTGAGAATATTCATTTTTTATCAACGTTTGGATGATTAATAAAGAAAATTAGATGACACTCGAAAGACACTTGTGTCTTTTCAAATACCACTTAATGGCTAGTTAATGGTACATACTAAATTGACACGTTCTGAAAGTTTGGATACTGAATTATCGTGTTTTAAAATTCGGGGACCAAAATGATGCTAAGCTCAAAATACAAGATACTAATCAGAAATTTTCCCTCTATTTAATCACATACAGTTCGTAAATTTACTAGTTATTATAAATGGCGTTCGTAGTGGAAAGAAGTTTCTCTTAAAATCAATAAAATAGTTCCAAAGATAATGCAAGGGTTAAAAGTCATGTTAGAAATGGTTTTTGGTATAACCATATTCATTAGGACGCATTCAATTAGGGCTGTCAATGCCTCGGGAATGAATTTCCATTAGTCAAATATTATTAAGTTGGAATAGATTTCAAAATTTTGAAAGTTATTTAATTAGTAAATTATCATACTCCATCAATAAATCAATAAAATTAATGGGGAGGGGGCAAAGTGTTGGAATTTGAAAGTTAAGGGGTCTTTGTCACAATTTCAACGAATGACCTGTTCTAACTTAAAAAAATAAAAGAAAATGAAAAACGGTCAAATATTATTGTCCATTGTCCAGGTTGACAATTAGAGGGTCAGTGGGCCACTGGCCTAAAAGTCGTGGTTTTAAAGTAAAACAGAACCAATTACCTGACCGGTTCCCCGATTTTCAGGCTCTTAGACTACAGAGGATAGTATGTAAATGTAATTCACGCTTTCCGTTATTCACACCTCTGATTTCTTGTAGAAGAGAAAAGTTAATTTAGTAGCTCTACACGTCCTTGCTATTCTAATCCGATTGCGCCGTTAGTTAAGATTTAAGAAAGAAAATGTGTTTGTTTTGAAAGAAACAAGAAAAGATTATCATGGTTGAGATTTCACGGTTTTAATAACATAAATGCATCTTACAAAGAAGGATTCAACACTTGTTTTAGGAAGAATATTTTGTCACATTTTTCAGGTTTCTGGTGTCTCACTTCATTTATCCAGAGAGCCAAATATCAGTTTGTACAGAAAGTTAGCTCTAAAAAATTCTTCAAATAACCTGGCAAG